AAGGCAGAGAAAGAGGAACAAAGGAAAAGAAATGAAGAGGAACAAAGAAAAAGATACGAGAAGTGAATAATACTAACTGATATGATCTTTATTAATAAATTTTTAAGGCGTATAGAGCTAAAAAAAGAATTAAAAGATAAAGAAGCTAAAGTTAAAGAACTTAAAAGTGAAAAGGAAATGCTAAAACAAAAGTAAGTCGATAAAACATTGATTAAATTATCAACCAAATATTGCAGTTATAAAAAAAAGCTCCCTGATTATACCAATGCACTGAAGAAACTAAGAGTCTATTCTGAAGCAGAGGTACATGAAAAAAATGATAGTTGGAAAATTAGTCACTAAAACCCACACACACACACACACACACACACACACTATGCAACATACTACATTATACTACACCATTCATACTACATTATACTACACCATTCATACTACATTATACTACACCATTCATACTACATTATACTACACCATTCATACTACATTATACTACACCATTCATACTACATTATACTACACCATTCATACTACATTGGCTTATGGTTATAGTGTATGTTGGCCGGCTAATAATCAGTTTGGCATTATTCAATGCATTCTAAATTATAGGATACTTACTGTCTCATTATTGAACAATTGGTAAATGATGTGGTAGAAAAGGAGCTTACAACACTACTGACTGCACCAGAAGGTTGCAATGCAATTGTAACAAGTGGTGATAGAGACCAATATGGAGCATATGGTCTCCTTCTTAGTGCTTACAAAGTACTTCACCCTTCACTGCCTGATGACAAAACTGAAGATGATGGAGATAAAAGTAAAGCTGATGAGCTTAGTGAAGATACTATTACAAAGGTACTGCAGTTTATTGACAAGATTTTGATATAAAATTGATCTTGTTAGGCTTGTACTAAAGTAGCTGTCCAATTAGAAGGAGAGATGAAGGAAAAAGCAGCAACAAATGTGAAAACATCAATAAAGCTAACTCGAGAAATGCTGTTTCTCATACCCCCATTGGTTGTTGGTTCAAAAGAAAGGGTTCGTAGCTACCATGAAGATCTTTGTGACACAAATAGGAAGACATGGGATGAGAAAAAAGAAGGAGATCAGTTGCTGTGGTATAGACCTGTTATTACATATGGCAACCAGTTACACATTGCTGTAAAAGGACTAGTGGGAAATTGTACTGAGCCAATACCAGAGGAAGGTTAGTAACTACACACATTATGATGCTATCAGTTTACTCTGACAGAAAAAGAAGAGGCACAAACTGATACTGATACTAATGAAGGAGTATCAGTGTCTCCAGAAATAACAGTGCATGCTGATCCTGAAGAAACATCAGATACAAATGATGAATTGCAAGACGATAAAGATACAAATGACGAATCACAAGACTATAATAAAGAAACAGTGATTTGAATTCTTAAACTTTAGTATATACTTCCAAAATAATTAATTTTAAATGCACACAGCAAAAATAACTATATAGTTAGTTAATGATATATTTAGTTTTAATTTCTTTGAAATGGTTTAGCAACAGATAAGAAATCGCAAAGAACATCAACCTCATCACCAGTGACCCTGTACTTTGCTTTAGCATGTATCTCAGTACCACTGAAGTCAACAGTGACATCAACCAAACGCTGAGAGCGTTGAAGATCACCTATGTTAGGTATATCAATGACAAGCTCTCCAATCTTTGTGGCTGTTTCTTCTCCTTCTTTATCTTTTGTGTACTGGACGCCTCTATCTAAAGTAGACAGGATATCAAACTTCATGGTTGTCATTTTCTGGTAAGCTGGAGCTATTCCTTCTATGAGATATGCTTCACTTGATTTAACAACATCCCCTCGCTGGCGAAACACAGAAAAGATATCATCACATTTAAACTGCTGTTGCTCTTCATTGTAGACTTTATAGTGATCATCATGAGCCTTTGGGTCAAAAGGAATTTGTAGAGCTATACCATAAGTGGCATCAATACATCTAGCGGTGATATTATCAGGACTCCTCCTCCAAATCACGGCTCCTTGAGCAATAGCTAGTTTAGGACTCTTGGGTACTATCATGTGCGAGATGGAGCCATATTTCTTTGTGATGGCATCACAGAGGTACTGGTAGAGATACTTGCTACCACCAAAACCTCCAACAAAGTAATAAGTATCAATATCTCCATGCACCTGAGTGGTGCTATCAATGGCAATCATGACACAACTTGCAATGTGCTCCAGAACTGGAACAAACAGCCTCTCCTCAACGACACCACTCTCAATGTAAAGACAATCGCTGTCATCGACATACTCTATTCCAGAGAATTTCTTTGCTCCTTTCTCTATCGCCTCAGATCCATAGAAATCAACGATACTACGTGGTATGATGATACCGACCTCATCATTGTGATCAAATTTATCGTATGAGTCGCCAAAGGTGACCTTTTGGAGCTCAAATTCTCTATACAACAGCTCATTCAGAACAATCTGTCGCTTCTCGTGATCACCAGAGCCAAGAAACTTTTCAAAATTCTCATCGTTGACAATTTCTTGAAACAATTTCGAAAATTGTTCATTGACTTTGGTCCCTCCCCAGTCGTTTCCCGACGGCACGTTAATGACCTCAAAACTTCCATCGTCTCGTTTGATCTGAGCCGTGATATCCACCGTCCCTCCTCCTATGTCAAGGACCATGTACGCTCCTTTGGGCTGAGGAAAATCCTTATTGTCTGCATTAGCGACATCAACTTCAGTGATGGTTTGACTGTAGAGTGCAGCACATTCCGGCTCAAGGGCCAGCGTCAGATGATTCGCATTGGTTTCTTGAGGGGATGGGAGGAGAGAGACACCGTAAGGAGTCAATGTTGATATTCCAGGATCACTTGTTAGGAGCCCGGCCTATAAATAAATTAAAATAAAATTGTCCCTTTTCATTATTAGTTATTTATATTTACCAAATAAGCAGCTTCTCTCATCATTCTTTTTCCTCGAGGATCCCATATAGCAGGTACGGTAATGACCCAATCAAAATCAGTTGCCTTCAAGATTGGAGAAGGTTTTGTCTTTCGGAGATGATCAAGAAAGTAATCCTTCAAGTATCGCAAAATGAAAGCAACAACTTCAACGAGATAGAAATTAGCTCCAGAAAAAGATTCTACAGGAGACTCACGATCAATAACTTTCTATAAAAATTTAAATAATAATTAATTTTCTGCAATAGATCTAATGTCTCACCTTTTCTCTTTTCATTAACATCTTGATTCTCTCGAAATAAACATAGCTCTCCCTATTGCGGACTTTGCTGTACACGCTGCGTGCATTATGGCCGAATGAAGCCACCTTGTAGCCGCCGTCAGGCTTCCTCTCAAGCAGAATACAATTCGTGATCCTGGTGTCCATGTTTGACAGGTCCAGGGGCAGTGTGTTCACATCTTTGCTGCCATAAGTGGTGTAGGCGAGAGAGACAGAAGTAGTGCCGAAATCTATTGCTGCAATATTTCCATTAGTTGTCCTGTAAGAGGACAGTTTCTGTGAAACGGGTTTTGCTGTAAGGAATGGCTCCTTCCCACTATCTCGACCTAGGATACAGATCTGGCGAGCTGTGATTCTGTTATTTCTAAAAGGCATAGAAGTCATGATGGCTTTGAGCTGGAGACAAAAGAACAAGCAAAAATTAAATTTTAGCTCGGACGAGATGCATTATAAAAATTCGCCGATATTAGCCACGCCTACTTCACGCAGAATTAATTATATTCACGAATTGTTATTACTACAGAATGGATTCTAGGAATTGACCCACAAATCAAAACTAGTGACACCTGCTTTTCCAAGAACTGCTACGATATCTAGTTTTCCGAGAAACTCCAAATGTTGTGGAGGAGCTGTGGTCATGAATACTATAGTGCTGTTAGGAAGGTGAGGTGTGGTTCAGAAACTACAAGATCAGAACTAGGAGGAGAGACAATGGAGTGAGTTGATGATCTTTTCAAACTTAAAACTGACTTTGATTGTGTAGGAAAGAAAGAAAGCAAGAACAGCAAGTGCAGAGAGAGCTACAGAGGTACTTACAAGTTGCATCAGTTATACTATTATAGTGATACACTGTAGGAAACTGGAAAGGTTGAAGCTACAGAAGAAGATTCTAAATGAAATAATAAATTCCAAGTAAGTTTGAGAAGTGATCTTTTCTTTAAATACAAATTTGTAATTAAAAACAATTTTAACTACAAACCACATTAAAATGGCTCCTCAACAAATCGAACATAATTTCATGTTATTAGATCACCTGCAAGTGCTGTACCTCATCAATTGAATGCAAATAATGAATGGCATAAAATAATAATGAAAAGAAATGAAGTATTGAAAAAAAATGGAGGCAAACTAGAGGTAAACATCATCATTGCACTGTTATGATATATTAATTCTTATAATCATTTCACAGGCTACATACAGAAAATGTCTCGATATTGTGCTAAAGAGCATCAGGGAAAAGTTGCTTAGTTTCTTAAGCATGTCACCAAAAGAGGAGGAAGGACCAGCAGCTGTTACTGAGTCCAGTGACTCAAAACAGAAAGAGCAATACAAGTCGTACGGTCTATTGCTCAGCTCATGTCATATTAAAAAATCAGAACTAGCAACTGATAGAATTGAATATGTAAGTCTTTTGAACAGTAATGCAAGTGCATTAATTATCATTACATGTACATGGTCTTTGGCCAAATTTTGCCAAAAATGACTAACAGAGAATTCTAAATTTTTATTACATTTTCTGATATACATGTTCTTATGTTGTGTAGCAAGTTTGAGGTGATTCTCATAAAATTTGAATTTTTTTGCAAATTATTAAAATTGCTCAAAAATTGGGCCAAAGTCCCTGTACTATAGCACAGGGTCTCGGGCCAAATTTCGCCAAAAATAAAATTTTGAGAATTCTCCATTTTTATAATTTTATCTAATACATATACATGTTCTTATGTTGTGTAGCAAATTTGAGCTGATTCCGATGAAATTTGAATTTTTTATGAATTTTTAAAGTTGCTCAAAAATTTGGTCAAAGTCCCTGTACTATAGCACAGGGTCTCGGGCCAAATTTTGCCAAAAATGAAAAGGAGAGAATTCTTTATTTTTACAATTTTTTCTGATACATATACATGTTTTTATGTTCTGTAGCAAGTTTGAGCTGATTCTAACCAAATTTGAATTTTTTACAAATTTTTTAAGTGGCTCAAAAATCAGATCACTATCGGAGAATTCAGCCAAAGACCAAGAGCTTTAATATTCTACTATTATTTAATGATATTTTAATTTTTATTATAGGTTTTGTTACAAGTTGCTGGAAGATATCGTTTAACTGATGAGAGCAGAAACAAGTTAGGAGAGTATGTTCAGAAAGCAGTTCGCCAAACCCGTACGATGTTGACACTCCTCCCACCAACAGTTATATACCTTCCCCTTCACTATAATGAAGGACTTCATGACACTAACAGAGCAACATGGGACGAGGAAGAAGCTGAAAAAAATCCTAAACTGAGCATCACTCATTATCGCCCTGTCCTTCTCTATGGGAATCATCTTCATGTTGCTGTCAAAGGTTTAATTGGAAAAAAATTGGAATCATCAAAACATGCTCCTCCTCCTCCTGTCACTAAAACTCAAACTTTAAGTATCCATTCACCTTCTACTTCTGTTCTTCCTCCTGCTCCTCCTCCTCCTGCTGTTCCACCTGCTGTTCCTCTTGCTCCTCCTCCTGTCACTAAAACTCAAACTTTGAGCACTCATTCACCTCATTATTCTCTTCCACCTGCTCCTGCTCCTCCTGTCTCTCCTTCTCTTCCTGTCAATAAAACTCAAACTTTGAGCACTCATTCACCTCGTTATCCTCACCCTCCTCCTCCTCCTGCTGTTTCTGCTCCTCTTCCTCCTCCTACAAAACCTTCAATTCTTCATCATCATGTTGATGAACACCAGTCTCATAGTTCTCACTCTACAACTGAGCCAGCTCATAAACCAAAAGGCCAAAGAAGAAACCGCTCACCATCTTTTGATAAGCCACTCAGCCCAGATAAAAGACCAAAGGTTGATGAAAGAGTGGAGAATCTTCCCTCATTATCATCCAGGAGAGAAAAAGTGGCTCCATCATTTCAACATTCATCAGCAACAGAGCAAAATAAACACAAACTGCAGCAAAACTCAGTTCCATCTCGAGCTGTACCAGGTACCCAATATTCATCACAACCACCACCATTAGTTGCATATCTACCAGCATCACAAGGACGTAGCAGTACTCAAATGATAGAGAAAAGGGCAGGTAGCGTGTCATCATCTCCTGTTCAAACTGCAAGAGCTAGCCATCAAAAACAGTCAACTTATTCTGTTAGTAGCAACAATTCTTCCTATCCTTCTGTCTGTTCAGGAGATGCCAAAGGTAGAATGAAAAGAGAAGGAGACACTACCAGTGGAGTCTCTGCTCAGACCACTAGTAGAAGAACTGGATATGAATATAAGCCTGAGGCTTCAAAAGGAGTGACACCTCCCACTACTAGTGAGTCTGCTGGTATGATTCGGCCTCACAAAGAAACTAAAAATAGAAATAATCCAGCTGGTAGTATTTTAAAGTATAATGAGTCCTGTCCTTCTGCAAAACAAAGATCAGGTAAACCTCATTCTCCTTCTGCAGTGACAAAAGAAAAAATAACAGGTGGCAGTCTAAAAAGTGGAACAGCAGCAGCAACTTCAAGCAGTCATCGTTTGCAAACTACCAGACCATCATCATCAAATAAAACCACCAAATCATCAAAAGGGAATGGTATTCATTCACAAAGTCCTGTACCTGCCAGCAAGCAAGCCTCAGGATATAGAAGGCAAGTTACACCACAGGGAACAACACCTCCAAGGGCAGCTGCAGTATCAAGAGAAAGGGTTAATCCAAAAAGTGTAGCAACACCAACTTCAAGCAGTTATCGTTTGACTCCAACTAGCAGACCACCATCATCAAACAGAAATGCTAAGTCAATGAAAGAGAATGCCAATCCTCCTCATAATCGTAAAGCAGCTGTAACTATCAGTAAGCAAGGAAGTACATGGAACAGGTCAAATAAATTAAATTCAAGCAGTAGAAGTAAAGTATCTGATAGATCTACACCCACATATTTCAGACCAAAGGTCAGTCCGAGACAAACGAGTAACATATCACCTCAAAATGTGAGGGCACCAGTGAAACCATTATCTCCAGTAAAAGATCAAGTAAAAAGTCAAACCACTGGTCATACTAAAGCAACGGTGTCACCAACAGGTGCTAGAAGAGAGCTTTTACCAAACTTAATATACAGACCCAAAGCAGAGACCCCTTCTTTCAGATCACAGACTCATGGCCATACTCAGAACATCACAGGTGCTCAGAACATACCTCTTCCTCCAGGTCAACCACACCATTCTTCTCAATATAGAAAAGGCAGATATTTCACAAGTGAAAAAGCAAAAGAAAAAACTACACAAAAAACACAGAAGTCTATGATAAATCCAACATCTAAACGACCAGATAGCACAGATATTACTAAAAAACCAACTATAGAACAACTAGTAGTTCCCATATCACCTAATTCATGTCAAAGATCACCAAAATCATCCATTGAAGTTAAAGTGCAGCATGAACTAAGATCTGGTAGGACATATGAATACCCAACAGCTAATAATAGAGAGCGTGAACGACTAGAACAAAGGAGAGGAACAGATGCAGTATTACGTGAATCACGTGGCGGTGGAGCTGTGCAAGTACATGTACAAAAACTTCAAAAGAGAAAGTAGTTGAAACAAATTTTGTAATTAATTATTTAAGCCCGTTTGATAGGACAATAATACTTAATTATCTGATAAAAATATTTAATCATCTAATTAAAATATTTAATTATGAACTGACCTGTCTGGGTATAGGAGCCAAGACCTCTCCATGTTAAAGGAATTGTGAATTACTCAATGAAGCAGTAGGTCTTTTAATCCTGTTAAAGGACAGCTAATTTTAAAGGATATATAAGCATTGCAAAAGCACCTGGTTTAAATTTTGTGGCTCATAATCATCTAAAAACCAACAGTCATCTGTAAGTGAAGAGGTAGCCATTTTGTCCTTTTCTGTGTGCTTAAAATTTCCCGCCAAACTATAGTTGATAGTTAATTAATAGTTATGAAAATAATTAACTAGCTATTAATAACTAGCAAATAATTCTGACAAAAATCCATAAATCAGATAAAAAATATAATAACAATAATAATCTGGAAAATAATTTAGCTGTAATGAAATTAATCGTTAATAAGTAAAGGCACTTTGTCATCCTCGTTACTATTAATAGCACTGGGGTCTTCATTAGTATCTTCATCAGGTAGACTGCCTGGAATCACTGATTCCATGTGACGAGGAGGTGGAGCCTGTGGAGATAGAGCCTGAGGAGATGGAGCCTGTAGTGTAATTTTAAAATAGAATAAAGAGCAGCTGGGATAATTTGAAAAAAACTATTAACATGGATTTAAATCAATAATAATGAACTAAAATTCCTTTTATATTAGCCTATCAGTAATCTTTATAATAAAAACTTTTTTTAATATAACAAATCCTCTCACCTCCTCCCTGACTCCATACAGTGAGGATGAAGTGTCCCCCCGTCCAATAGCTCTCCTGATTCTCATGATCCTGGTCCTGTCCCCTGTAGGGTCACTCACATTCTGACGTCTGAACAGGTTAACACGAGCTCTTGCTACTGAGATCCTTTGGTGGACGTCAACGTACAAATCAGTTTCATCGACAATCTCTTCACCGATCAGTTCTTCAATGACGTCTTCTAGTGTTATGATACCAACCAGCTCAGACTATAAATGAAAAGGTGCAGTATATTTGTAATCTAATGGAGGATATTTTCAAAACAGAAGCCCCCAGGTTGCTACATTCTCTATCTTTAATTTGTACACACAAGTCTTCTATTAGAGGATTCTCCTATACTTTATATAGGATTATATTTACTTATTGTATGTAGCCTCAAAGCTTATAATTGAGACAGGACCTGACAGGTATATAGGATAAATTATGGTACATGTATAAATGCATGTACAATGTGCGTTTATCAATTTGAAATTGAAAGCAGCATACATGAATATACTTACATCTGGTTCCTCTTCATTGTACACTAAATAAAGATGACCTATTCAATAAATGAACAGAAAATAAAAATGACAAATCAAAACATATTCCACTAACTCCTTCCTGTCTGAAACTGGTTGAGTATATCATAAAGGGGTGTGGTCGTTGAGCAAGAAGGAGGAGGAGTCATAGCACCAATTACCTTATTAATTATTATTAATATTTATTAATTAATTATTTATTCATTACTTCTTTAATTGGTACGTTATCATCAGGATCAAGTATAATGAGTTTCTTTACTAATATCAAACCGACAATGTCAGAACGACCATCTTTATAAATCGGGATCCTGGAATGACCAGTTGCTATTATCTGAAGAGAGCTGACTATAAATATTATAAACATTTGATCTAGTTAACCTTTTCCATGTTAGCTTGTCCAATCTTGTCATCAACATGTAACATGAATACTGATTCAAGTGGCGTCATGGCGTCTTTGACAGTTTTATCTCTCATATCAAGAGCACCCTTTTAAAGGAGATTTGGACGTGGTCAATTAGTGGGTGTGGCTAACCTTAACGATGAGTATTTCATCGTGTGATAAAGGTTCTTCATTCTCTTTGCTGTCAGTTTCTTCAGATGAGCCGTGCATCTGAACCAGTTCTTTCAATTCTAAAACGTATTCATGAAAACTGCGTTATTTATTTTCATACAAACCGGCTCTCCTGAAGAAAGTGCTGTGGTCTTTTCCTAGTATCAGATCAAGTACTTTTGAAATTGGAAATGCAAGAATGAAGAATGCGGCCATCAGAAAGTAGACCAAACTATAAAGAAAGAAATATTTATTTTATTTTATTTTTATTTTATTTTATTTTATTTTTATTTTATTTTATTTTTATTTTATTTTATTTTATTTTATTTATTTATTTCTTACGGAGCACAATAGTATCCAATGGCTAGTCCAAAACGTGTACAAAGAGCTTGAGGTACAATTCTAAATAATGAGCACTTGAATATAAGCAGCTGGACTCTTTCTCTCTCCTCCTCTCCCTCTCTCTCTCTCAATTATATCCAAGCCATATTTAGCAAAATGGAAACCCTCCTCTCCCTCTTCCTTACTCTCCAAAGACTAGTACAGCAGTCACTGATATTAAAATGGCCACTATTTCATTCGTGATCTTGTCCAGGAAGATTGGCATGGACTCCACTGCGATGGCGTTAGCTAACAGGAGTGTCACCAGGAGGAGGTGGTGCTTCTTTACTATACGGATAATGCGACTGGCATATTTCTTTTCCCGGGGTTTCCCGCCTCTTTTCAATACCTCAAGACTCATGATGTCCAGGGACAGTAGGCCCATTGTTAATCCTGACATTAACCCTAAGAATGAGGACCAGTTTGAATATATATGGAAATGAAAAGTACATAATAAAACAATGTCTAAATAATACTGCTTTAAGGCAAACCAATCACACTATCTAAGTATTACAGTGTTATCTCTTACCAGCAAACAGGACCAGAATGATGTAGACGATTAGGTATACCCAAAATAGAGCATCTGTCGGCTTTATTGAGCCCTCGCTCTCCCCGCCAAGATGATAGAGGGTCCCATTGCAGCTAATCTCTCCCTCAGTTTCAGTAAAATGACACAGGATTCCTTCAGCCATTCCTAGGCCTTGCTCATTAATTTTTGCTGGGTGAGGTCACTAGGCGTGGCTATAACAAACCACATGCACACCTACCAAATTTTAATAACTATTGGGTTTAGTTAATTTTAGTAATAACTAGCAGAATCAATGGCTGTCATCAGGCTTGGACTAATAGGGTGTGGATATATATGTAAAACTCACCTGAAAGCATTGAAGGAGCTCAATGATCTTTCCATTGCAGTAACAGCACTGGTGGATATTAATAAAGAAGCAGCTGAATCTACCAAACAATTGCTACCAGCACCTCAGAACTGTCAAGTAAGTTATAAAAGGAGCATGTAGTTGAGGTCCTCCCCTTTCTCTTTAGGTGTATGGTAGTGTGGAGGAAGCAGGAGATGATAGTTATGATGCAGCTGTTATAATGGTACCACATCATCTTCACGTTGAAATAGCTAGAGAGGTTTTATCAAAAGGGAAGCATGTCTTATTAGAGAAGCCATTAGCCATCAGTATTGAAGGATGCAGGGAGCTATTAGCACTAGCACAAAGCACTGATAGGGTATTTATGGTAGCGGAGAGTGCTGTCCACTGGCCTGAAGTATGCAAAGTTTTGCATGCAATATCACATTAAATTTCTTTTTTGCCATTATATAAAAGGTAGTCCAAGCTATAAAACTGATCAAGGAAGGAGTGATTGGAGAGCCTTATTATGCTCAAGGAAATTGCTTTGAATCAATTGGAATGTAAGGTCTAGTGTATCAATACTTCTATTATTGTCATCAATTGTAGAGATGACTTTGATTTCTGTGAAGTACCTGATTGGATTTATGATCCAGAGAAGAATGGAGGAGGTGCAGTGATGGCTGGTGGAGTTCACTGGATACGTCCACTGAGATTAATGTATTATGAACTGGTATATCTAGTATATGTATGTCAGTATTTAAAGGTTGGGTGATATGGATAAAGTGGCTGCAATGACAATGGATGCTTGGAAGACAATGAGAGCTGAGACTCTTGCACACGCTCTTGTAAAGTTTAAGAATGGAAAGCAAGGTGTCCTCCATTTTCATTATAGCGACATCCCAATGGAAAAGATCCCTTTCTTTCAAATATTTGGACCAAAAGTTAGCAATGTGACTAAATTATAACTGTATCAATTTATATAGGGAGAGATTACAATTCATGGTGTGTTTGATGGTGGCATTACAGTGCATACTAAGGATAAAGTCACTACTGATAATTGTGGAGGATATATGAGTGCATTCAAGCCTCAGATGGCCTCTTTCTTTGCAGCAGTAAAGAAAGGAGAGAAATTAGCAGATTCTCATCCAGGCAGTGTTTCCGAAGCAATGAAAGATGTTCTTGTTGCTCTAGCGATTTACAGATCAGCTGAGAAAGGAGCATGGGAGAATGTTGATGTTTAAAAAGACATAGTAGTTTGTTTAAAGTTATTAAGAAATAACTATAATTTCAATAATGGCTGTCATCAGGCTTGGACTGATAGGGTGTGGGTATATATGTAAAACTCACCTCAAAGCATTGAAGGAGCTCAATGATCCTTCCATTGCAGTAACAGCACTGGTGGATATTAATAAAGAAGCAGCTGAATCTGCCAAACAATTGCTACCAGCACCTCAAAACTGTCAAGTAAGTTATAAAAGGAGCATGATGTTGAGGTCCTCCCCTTTCTCTTTAGGTGTATGGTAGTGTAGAGGAAGCAGGAGATGATAGTTATGATGCAGCTGTTATAATGGTACCACATCATCTTCATGTTGAAATAGCTAGAGAGGTTTTATCAAAAGGGAAGCATGTCTTATTAGAGAAGCCATTAGCTATCAGTATTGAAGGATGCAGGGAGCTATTAGCACTAGCACAAAGCACTGATAGAGTATTTATGGCAGCAGAAAATTCTCCTCATTGGCCTGAAGTATGTCATGAAAATGCTATATATGAGTAATTAAATTTTATTTTTACTGCCTTTAGGTTGTTCGTGCAATACAGCTAATAAAAGAGGGAGTGATAGGAGACCCTTATTATGCACAAGCTAATTATTGGGAGGCTATAGCAAAGTATGTATTGTTGTTTTATGAAACTTAAAAATCCTAACTTTATAGAGAGGATTATGATGTTGGTGCTGTACCAAGCTGGGTCTACGATCCTAAAAAAGTAGGAGGAGGTGTCCTAATGGCTGGGGCAGTGCATTGGATAAGGCCAATACGAATGATGTTAGTAAAAATGAAGATATACTTGACTGTTATAGTTCTTATAATAATTAATGTAGTTTAGGAGAAATTGATAAGTTGGTTGGTATGACTGTCAATGCGTGGGATAGGATGAAAGGAGAGAGTCTTGCTCATGCTCTTGTTCAGTGTAAAAATGGAAAGAAAGGAGTTCTTCATTTTCATTACAACGATGTGCCAAAAGAAGAAATACCTTTCTTTCAGATATTTGGACCAAAAGTATAAAGAATGAAATTGTATGTGAGTTTATAATTTTACAATATTCTTCTTAAAGGGAGAAATTACAATTCACGGCAAGTTTGAAGGTGGTATTACAGTACATACAAAAGATAAAGTCACTACTGATAATTGTGGAGGATATTGGGGCTCTTTCAAGCCTCAAATGGCATCATTTATATCAGCGTTAAAAAAAGAAGAGAAGATAACAGAGGCTCATACTGGAAGCGTTTCTGAAGCAGTGAAAGATGTACTTGTTTCTTTAGCAATTTACAGATCAGTTGAAAAAGGAGGATGGGAGAATGTTGATGTTTAACTCCAAATGAACTGTATGGTCAAGTGAATACACATGCACATCTTGCTATTTGCCCAATTGATTGTCAATTTTTGTAATGTGCTAGGTTATTCAATAACAGCAGGTGCTCATTTGCAGTTAGCTTTTGTCCATTATCTGGTTTATTTAGTGGAAGTAGTTAATAGTTTTGTACGAGCAAATAAAAGCCACTTTTCAGTAAACAACACAATATCTCTCTTTTTTAATCATGGATAAACCAGAAAACAGTTATGATGTTCCTACTTTTGAATTACAGCCGTGTGATCTAAAACCACAAAGTCAGCCTGATGTCATTGATGTTCAGCAAGGGAATAAGGCAAAAGAGAAGTCACGCTGTAAAATGTTTCTTCTGTTTTTTGTTCTACTTGTTTTGATCCTACTTATACAAGTTGCTCTACTTGTATTGGTGCTTTTAGAGAAGAAGGCTGTTGATTCCACAACTGCTAATTTTTTGGATGATGAAAGGTGCAAAAATTGCAATGGAACATTTCTAAATTATGCAATATTTGATGATCAACAGCTCTATTTTGACAAAAGTTTAAATTCTTCTGCAGAGCTGATAGTGGAAAAGTTAAGCAGTTATCATTTTGAAACACATTCTTTAGCTGCAAATATCATGAACATCATGTATAACCTGAGCAATGAGCAGTTGTTGGGGCTACAAAATAATACTGAGATCTTGAAAAATGTGATCGTTTCATCAAAATCGCGAGAGTTTGCAAGCATTTTCACCTCTTTGTTGAATCTGGAAAATGGTATGAATTCCTCTGCTGGAGTGATGAATGATGTTTCAATTTTGGTTAAAAACTTGCTGGAACTTCGTAATGAGACGACTTCTTTAGCCACAAAAACTGCCCTTAAAGTTGAGGAGATTTTTAATCTGGGCAATGAGCAGTTGTTGGGAGTACAAAATAGTACTGAGATCTTAAAAAATGTAATTGTTTCATCAAAATCACAAGAGTTTGCAAGCATTTTCACCTCTTTGTCGAACCTGGAAAATGGTATGAATTCCTCTGCTGGAGTGATGAATGATGTTTCAATTTTGGTTAAAAACTTGCTGGAACTTCGTAATGAGACGACTTCTTTAGCCACAAAAACTGCCCTTAAAGTTGAGGAGATTTTTAATCTGGGCAATGAGCAGTTGTTGGGAGTACAAAATAGTACTGAGATCTTAAAAAATGTAATTGTTTCATCAAAATCACAAGAGTTTGCAAGCATTTTCACCTCTTTGTCGAACCTGGAAAATGGTATTGATTCATCAGCTGGAGTCATTGACAATGTTTTAGTTTTGGTTAAAAACTTGCTGGAAGTTCATAATGAAACGTCTTATTCTTTGCCGCTGTCATGTGAACAAATTAAAAACAAGTATCCAAACACCCCATCAGGTTACTATATTATAGGAAACAGCAGTGTTTACTGCCACATGGGTACACTCTGCAACTCAACCGGTGGATGAGCAAGATTGGCTTACCTTGATATGTCCCTTCCAACTGAAAAATGTCCTCCTGGTTTCCAAATGTACAATACAGGTGGAGTTAGAGCCTGCGGTAGGGTCAACACAAATACCGATTGTCTCCCAGTGATTTTTCCGTCTAATAATATTAACTATTCTGAGATTTGTGGCCGTGTAGTGGGATATCAGCATGCTTCAACTGATGCTATTGACCCTCGCTTTGGTGATCACAATGATATCAATGGTCATTATGTTGATGGAGTAAGTATTACTCGTGGGTCTCCACGTCAGCATGTATGGACACTAATGTCAGGACTGCAGGACGAAGGTACAAACAATCAAAACCTAAATTGTCCCTGTGCTGTAGGAGCTACAGTACCTGTTCAGTCATTCATTGGGGAGCATTATTTTTGTGAATCTGGCAATTCTAATTATTATGCTTGGAGCTACAATACTCTGTATGTAGAAGATCCACTCTGGGATGGTAAAGACTGTGGTTCTCGTGAACTAGCTTGCTGTGCAGCTCCTGGTCTCCCATGGTTCTACAGAAATTACACCAACACAACAGATGACTTTCTTGAGCTGAGGCTTTGCCTTGATCAAATTGTTTCAGATGAAGATGCTGCTGTTGGATTTTATGAAATTTATGTAAAGTAATAATTGCTACTGAACTGAATTGCTTTTGTTTGCTTTTTTACATGCTGCAAATTTATAGCCTTAGTTTAGTCAGAGATACTAAATAATTTTAGCTATGCTTTTAGTTTTAGAGTTTAGTTTAAGGATTTTTTAGTTTGATTTTTCTCAAATTTTTGTATGGGTGTGGCTCAAATCTTGCATGAGGTAACGCCCATAAACATGTCCGTCAGAGTTGCTCTTGTTGGCTGTGGTAGGATTTCACGCGTTCATTTGAACTCTCTGCTGGCACTGAGGGACCAGTCACTGGTCATATCAACAGCAGTGGATCCTAATGTAGCTGCAGCTCAACAAACGAGACAGCTCTTGCCTGCCCCTCAAGAATGTAAGGTATTGACTGAATTAACTTAAATTTGAGCTGATTTCAATCAAGATTGGATTTTTTACAAATTTTTAAAGTTGTTTCAAAATTGGGCCAAAATCCATGTACTACAGTACATGCTCTCTGGCCAAATTTTTCCAAAAATAAAAAGGAGAGAATTTTCTATTTTTATAAATTTTTCTGATGCATATACATGTTCTTATGTTGTGTAGCAAGTTTGAGTTGATTCCGATCAAAATTGGATTTTTTAATGAATTTTTAAAGTTTCTCAAAAATTGGGCCAAGGCTCCTGTACAGTATTCAGCCATTTTACCACTTGTTCTTTCTCTCCCTCCATTAGGTGTATGGTAGTGTAGAGGAAGCAGGAGATGATAGTTATGATGCAGCTGTTATAATGGTACCACATCATCTTCACGTTGAAATAGCTAGAGAGGTTTTATCAAAAGGGAAGCATGTCTTATTAGAGAAACCATTAGCTATCAGTATTGAAGGATGCAGGGAGCTATTAGCACTAGCCCAAAGCACTGATAGGGTATTTATGGTAGCTGAGAACTCACCTCACTGGCCTGAAGTAAAGAATAAAACATTACCTTCTCTTTATTTACTTGATTTGGATATTTTCAGGTTGCTCATGCAGTGAATTTGATTAAAGAGGAAGTAATAGGAGATCCTTATTATGCTCAGGCTAATTATTGGGAAGCTGTGGGACAGTAAGTGTCACTTCTCTTCTCTTTTCATTTGATGTTTCTTGTAGCTCTGATTTCAATAATGGAGACGTTGCTGAATGGAGATTTGATCCTTCTCAAGTTGGTGGAGGTGTGGTCATGGATGGAGCTATTCACTGGATGAGACCTTTAAGACTGTTGTAAGTCTGAATTTTAAAATAGCCGTAACTTTAAAAAATTTTGTCGGAATCAGCTCAAACTTTCTACATAGCTTAAGGACATCAATATGTATCAAAAAATGTAATAAAAATTGGGGGTGATTTTGGAGCCATTTTTTTTGGAAAAAAACCATGGGCTATAGCCTTGGGTATTTTTCAGATTTTGGCTCGTTTCTTAAAATGGCCGTAACTTGAAAAATTGAAGTCGGAATCAGCTCAAACTTTCTACACAGCATAAGTACATCAATATGTATCAGAAAATGTAATAAAAATTTGAGGTGATTTTGGAGCCATTTTTCGGAAAAAACCATGGGCTATAGCCTTGGGTATTTTTCAGATTTTTGGCGTTTTGTTAAAATAGCCATAACTTGAAAAATTGAAGTCAGAATCGACTCAAACTTTCTACACAGCATAAGTACATCAATATGTATCAGAAAATGTAATAAAAATTTGGGGTGATTTTGGAGCCATTTTTCGGAAAAAACCATGGGCTATAGCCCATGGTTTTTTTTTCAGATTTTTGGCGTTTTCTTAAAATAGCCATAACTTGAAAAATTGAAGTCGGAATCAGCTCAAACTTTCTACACAGCATAAGTACATCAATATGTATCAGAAAATGTAATAAAAATTTGAGTAGATTTTGGAGCCATTTTTCGGAAAACCCCATGAGCTATAGCCTTGGGTATTGCATAAATGAAAGATGCTTTTTATTATTAATAACTAATTATTAGTTACAACAATAGTAACAATAATAATAACAACAATAACAATGATTATTAGTTTAGGTGACATTAGTAAGGTTGTCAGTACGATGGCGTATCCATGGGAATCGGTCAAAGGAGAGTCCTTGGCTGATGCCCTCATTCAGTTTAAAAACGGAAGAACTGGTCTCCTTCACTGCCACACTAACATCATTCCAATGGAAAAGATCCCGTTCTTTCAAATATTTGGAACCAAAGTGAGAAATGACTTTTAAACTGAGCTATTGTATACATTGAGATTGCAATTACTAGCAATCAGTAACATTAATTTGTTACAGCAGTTTGTTAAAGCAGGTGACTCTACACAGATATTCATAATTATGAATTTATGAACTAAATTCATTTGCTGTCTTTTGTAGTAAGTGGGTGGTTAGGAGAGGTCAATCTTATAGTGTTCTCACTATTCCATCACACCTTTTCATGCTTCCTGTATGCTTCATCAAATTTTGACACATTCCTTTAACAGCTATTAGAGTATTTAATTATTGTAATCATCTCATGACTTTTAAAATAGGGAGAGATTACAATCCATGGTAGTTTTGATGGCGGGCTGTCAGTACACACAGCTGGTAGAACAGTCTCGGTTAATCCTGGAGGATACTTTGGTGCTTTCAAGCCTCAGATGGCATCCTTTGTCTCAGCGATAAAGAAAGGGAAGAGGATCAGTCCATCTGACTCTGGGAGCGTCTTGGAAGCTTTTAAAGATGTTTTAGTGGCAAATGCAATTTATAGATCAGCTAAGAGTGGAGCCTGGGAAGCAGTGGACAACAATGATACTGTATGAGATTGACATTTTATATTGTCTGTGATAATTATTTACTATTTTATTTACAAATTACAATTGAAAGCTCATGCTGCAGTAGTAGCTTTACTGATGCTGTGACATGTGATGATGAATTAATTTAATTTGCTTGAGCGGCGGAAGTCACGTGACTGACCTTTTGTGTGCAATCTGATTGGTCAGATGAAGTGGTGCCACGAGTGGTGCGCGATCATATTGCAATTTAATGCTACTCTGCTGCTGGAGGCTGCAATCATCATCACTGACTTTGCTGCAGCTGAGAGAGACTGATAGAGAACCTTACTGATCCCATCTACCAAATACTTTCAACTAACACACAAAAATGTCTTCGAAATTTTACGTCGAGAGCGAGAAGGTCCAATACAATGAGACAAAGCAGACCATACTCTCAACTTATGAGTACCAGTCTTCCCACGTGGAGACCGATGGAGAGAGATTCCGTGTAAAACCAGTCAATACTAATCTTACCTTTCGTACCAGTGCTCGAGTCCCTAGGGTTGGGGTCATGCTTGTTGGCTGGGGAGGGAATAATGGGTCCACAATCACTGCTTCTGTCCTTGCCAACAAGCTTGGCATCTCATGGAGGACTAAAGATGGTGTGAAGGTAAGTATACCATATACTGCTCTGTTGCATTGTGTTGTTACTGCATCATGAGGAGAGCATTCTTCTTTTAGACTGTTAATTATTTGAACATTCTTCCTTTATACTTTTAAATAAACTGTTACTATTTGATTGTTCACACATGACTTCTCTCATTAATCCACAGACTGCTAATTATTTCGGTTCCATAACTCAGTCCTCAACCACTAGTCTGGGGATAGGTCCAGATGGTAAAGATGTCTACGTTCCTTTGAAGGACCTCCTTCCAATGCTCTCACCCAATGACATGGAGTTTGATGGTAAGCAACAGCTCACCTACGACATTCCATTCAACACTATAATGATGTAATTCCCTAATTAAGATCATATGATCATTAGTCATTATGTATATTTTGTTTATAAGCTATTCCCAGTGTTGTTTTGATGTGGTTTGACCCTCACATGATTTGCTCACTCATTCTAACCATCAGACTATGTATTAAATCATAATAAAGTCTTCCTTTCTCTCTCTCCCCCCTCTCTCTCTCTCCTTTTAGGTTGGGATATTTCTTCAGTCAATATAGCTGATGCTTGTTCCAGAGCTAAAGTAAGCCATTGAACTGCTGGTCTCATCACTGCAGCACCTCATGAATCATTTTAGTAGCCCACAAAATATTTGACCTCAGCCACCACTGCAAAGTTAACATACAATAATGACGTAATCTGCCAATACAAGACAATACACTCCTCATGTATATAGTTAGCCAGTGTGTGTCTACCTGTTATTCTAATCCCAGTGGTGTGTTTTTATAAGATATTCAAAGTGCCTAGCTGTAGATGACCTTAAAATCATAACTGGTTTGATGGACTGGTAATGTTACCTCTATGATGCCACATATCCAGTTACAGTTTAGCACTGCATGCTCATCACATGATTCACTATACTATGGGTTTGCTTCCTGGCCAGTAATGTCATAATATTAGTACACACTGCCAATCACATATTGTATTCTGTTTGTTGCTTTTAAAGGTCCTGGATATCAGTATTCAAGATCAGCTGAGACCTTATCTTGAGAAGTTAAAGCCACGTCCGTCCATCTATTGCCCTGACTTCATCGCAGCCAATCAGGTAAAGAGACAGTCCTTTTGCCTTATATATATATATATATACATGTTCATGCTTTCAATAATCAATTATTTCTTTATTCTCAGAGCGATCGTGCTGACAATGTCTTGTCTGGTACGAAATGGGAGATGGTGACCAAGATAAGAGAAGACATTAAGGATTTCAAACAAAAGAAGAACCTTGACAAAGTAATGATAATAATAATAATGATGCTAAATATTATTTTATTTTTGATAGGTCATCATCTTGTGGACGGCTAACACCGAAAGGTTCTGTGATGTTGCTGCTGGTCTTAATGATACTGCGGACAACCTTCTGGAGAGCATAAAGAGGAATGAGGCTGAGGTCTCATCATCAACACTCTTTGCTGTTGCTAGCATTTTAGAAGGAGTGAGTCTCCTAATAGATGATAATAATAATTACGTTATTATGTAGTGGAATATGATTATAAACTTGTAATTTATATTCTTGTTACTCCTTTCCCTTCTCTCTCCCTCTTCCAGTGTACATATATCAATGGTTCTCCTCAGAATACCTTTGTTCCAGGCTGTATTGAGCTAGCAGAAAGACACGGGGTCTTTCTTGGAGGAGATGACTTCAAGAGTGGACAGACAAAGATAAAATCAGTTCTGGTTGACTTCCTTGTGTCTGCTGGTCTGAAAGTATGCAAGAAATGATTTCTTTACAGAAATAATCATAAATATTAATTCTTTATTTAGCCAACGTCTATTGTCAGTTACAATCACCTTGGTAACAATGACGGGAAGAACCTTTCAGCCCCAAAGCAGTTCAGGAGCAAAGAGATATCAAAGAGCAACGTTGTGGATGACATGGTGGAATCAAATGATGTACTTTACTCACCAAATGAGAAACCAGATCACACTGTAAGAGAGAGAGAGGGGGGAGGGAGGAGAGAGAGAGAGAGGGGTAGGAAGGAGAGAGAGAGAGGGGGGGAGGGAGGAGAGAGAGAAAGGAAGAATGGATGAAGAGAGAGAGAGGAAGAGTAGATGAGAAAGCATTGAAATGTGTCCCAAAAAGTTGACCTCTCACTGTATTAGGTTGTCATCAAGTATGTTCCATATGTTGCTGACTCCAAGAGAGCAATGGATGAGTATACCTCTGAGATATTCATGGGAGGACATAACACAATCGTCCTTCACAACACTTGTGAGGACTCCCTCCTAGCAGCACCACTCATCATTGATCTCGTTATCATTGCTGAGCTCTGTGAAAGGATTCAAGTAAGACACTGACAATAGCAATTATATTTATTATCATTCAATGGCTATACTTCTTTATGAAGGTTAGATCATCATCATTACAATATTCTTTTCATAGGTTAAGACTATTGATGGGGATTACGAGCAGTTCCATTCGGTCCTTTCTATTCTCTCGTATCTATTAAAGGCTCCAATGGTACCTCCTGGCACACCTGTCGTCAATGCATTATTCCGCCAAAGAGCTTGCATTGAGAACATATTCAGGTGAGCAAGAAGTCATTGTTAGATGTAGAAA